GCACCCATTGAAGTTATGAATAACTTCACTTAATCACATCCCCCATAATGAACCGTTTAAGCTCTTCAAGTGACCTTCTAGGATGCACCCAAGATCCTTGGAATACACACTTCTCCATAATGGGTTTTGCTAATCTCCAAGCGAGATCTTCTTCTTCTTCAATGTGTGAAGTTGAATAGAAGAATCAAGATGGATGGGTCTTTGGGAATTCAGGAATCTAGGATTTTCCCTTTATCTCTAAAGGTGTAAGAGGTAGCATTTTAGCTTACAATAGAGATACCTTAGGTTAAGAAGGCTTACCATTTATATAAGCAAGTAATAGGATTCATCCTGGGAACAAGCAAACAGAAATTTACGAACCTCCGTTCAAGCCGTTAGAAAGTGATCAAAGAGCAGTTGTCATTGGAATAAAAAAATGATCTAAACCAGACTTGACAAGTAGGGACCGCTCGAGCCATCTCAAGATTGCTCGAGTGCCTTAAGAGCGACCTCTATTGCCCAACTTGTCAACCTTTTATGATTTTTTATCCATAAGTGTTCAAAAACCACTTTAGTTAAAAGAAAGCAAGTAGAGAACGATCTCTACGGGTTTATATATATATATATTTTTTAAAAGGCAAAGCATTTATACGACAAGAAGTATTATTGGACCAAAAATTTGTTGGTTTATATATTGATTTTTAAACTATAAACCTACTAAAAACTAATCTTATTGAACGCTAAAATGTATTGATTAAATAAGGTCCAATGAATAATTCAATCTATGCTTTCAAAACACATTTAGAGTTTAGAAAATCTTGTCAATGAAAAAATTTAGGAATCATTCTTGGGTATTCCTAATTCCAATTCCAAATACCTAAACATCCTAAGTCTATAAATAAACCAAAGGTTCTAGATCTCTACGTCATTACATTTGTTCTAAGTACTGAAGGTGTATCAGAGATCTTATTGATTTGTCATTGAAGATTGGACTCCGTCCTCCTATTTTACTTTTGGAGCTTTGACCTTTGAATCATTTTGAGCATGTAATTAGGTTGCGATTAGTAGCAAATAAATTAGGTTGACATTTAAAAAAAATCATGAAATTAGCCAGTTAAAATAAATTTCTAACAGCATATTTAGTTGCTTATGTATTTCTTGGTTAGTTTGGTCTTTAAATATGTGTTAATTTAGTTTTATTTTATACTTATCTCAACGCTTCAGGACGTCATCTTGAATGATAGTATACCTGTGCATAATAAATACCATCCAATTTTTTTTATATGATTGATCACTATTACATGTTTCATATATCACTGTTACAGTGAAGTGTGAATGAATCACAAGCCTAAAAGAATAGTAGAATAAAACTCCAAAAATGATGTACTAATTTAGCTTCTTTTCTTATTCTTTTTTTTTTACTTTTCTCAGTTCTTAAAGACATCATCTAGAATGATAATATATGTGTGCATAATAAATTACACCTATCTTTTTTTATATATAACAATTGATCGACATTACACGACTCATATATCATTGTTATAGTAAAATGTGAATGAATTACAAAATACACTGTGAATGCCCTAGCTTTTGGCATTGATTGGCCTCATGACTTTTTTATTGCCTATTTGTAATATCAAGGGTGACCAACTATACTGTGAAAAATTGATTGATTTTATTTAAACAAACAATACTCACTTGAGGACTTATTAGTGGAGTATAGGAAAGATATAATTGGTAAAGTCTTGTTTTTAACATTTATTTGTACAATTTTGGTGTTATGTGTTCGAACCTACAAATAGAAAATCATTAAGTCGAAGTTTAACCATGAGACAAATGACACATTATCATAGATTAAATTATATTTGAAATTAAACCCACAATTTCTCGTTTTGGGTTTATTTAGTTCATACCATTGCCCTTTCTTTTGAGAACAGGAAGAGAGGGGGGAGTTATTCACGGGCATTAGAGGCATTTCAAAAAAAATGCAAAAGATGAGCAGGCAAGTACACGAAAATAAATGGAGATTGGGGTAGAGGGGGATTATGGCGTGTGCATGAGTGGGGTGTCCACAATCCCTATCTTAGTGGAGTCACCGCACGCTCGAGACAGACTTCCGCTTTTCCTCCCCCAGTTCCAATCAACGGGCGCTGCGGGGCCCACATTGTATGCCGGCTCTTCTAAACTCCATTACGTTTGGCACGCTTACTACAATCATTATCTGCATGCGATACAACATTATATTATATATATTCGTTTATGTTATTATCAAATCTTGAGTTGTAAAAAATTTATCAAAATCAACATTTATATTATTAATACGATGAGTAATACTATTGGGACATAATTTAGAGATTTAATAATTGTGACTATTTGATTATTAATAGGTCCCAACATTAAATTATTATTGGATCTGAACACTATCAATTCAATGATCATAATACATTAAGTCCTCAAATTATATCCCTAAATTATATCCTAATAACATTAGTGAGATATGATAATTAGTTTAAATCATAATATTTAAAGACATATCAGTATTTATAATCGTAAATATTAATATACAACAATGTTATGATCTACTTATTTTCTTACTTGCGACACAATGTAGTGGTTACAAACAAATTATCATATTAAATACGAGTTTTCCGAGTTAGTATATTGTTTATCATAGAAATAATTTTTTTTTTTGAAAATCAAAGTGATTATTCATGTGATTAATATTTACCATTTGGTTATTAAAAAGGTTATTTAGTTTATTTGAAAACAATACATAAAATGTCATAAACATATAACGAAATTTTAAAACCTAAGGGAAGATATAAAATTTTTGAAAACATAAAAGGGTATAAAATATTTTTCAAAATTTGAGGGGGTCATGGCCCCCCTAAGCGCATATTCAGTTCCGTCCCAGCGTGTGAACCTACTAATTTAGCATTGAATTCAAAACGTAATCTTCAAGTGGAGAGTTAATTTAGTTTGTTTAGTAATGAATAAATGAAATCTGTCTAATTCGTTGGAGAGATAAGATTGAGAGGCCTAAAATTTATGACATGCATCATTTTTATTACAGAAGGTTGCACTAAAAGTGTAGTTTTTGGATTGACATCCATAAATGGTAGGATAAATCTAGTTCGTCCATTAATGAATGATTGAATGAAATTTGTGGAGCCTCATCCCAAAAACCTAATATCATGTCTAAGGAGTAACAGTAATGCTATGATCAAATTTTGGGTCCTAAATGACATGAAACCAAATAAAGAAATCCAAGTTAGCAGTCATGTCATTTGGGTTCCATATTTGATCAATGTAACATTACTGCAGGAGTAAATATTCAAAATACAACAATGATACCACATAAATATAAATGCTAAATTAAGACATAATACTAAGACACTACCCTACTGTAAAAAAAAAAAAAGATTGTATTAGGTAATATAAGTTAATTTTGTATAAGCAGATAAAATACATTATTAAATATAAGACAAAAATATTATTGACCAAAAAATCATCATTCTAGTGTGGTTATCAATCTTTTTGATTATTTGATGGATAAAATAATAAATTTTTAACTTAATGCGCTTGAACTATATTATAATACTACCTTTTTAGGCTGTATTAAAAATTAGCTCAATACTACGGGTAGAATGTATTATTGGTATAAATATTGGCAACCAGCTGTAATATAAGGTTGAATTAGATAACTTAAAGTTAAGATTTCATATTCCACCCCTTAATATTACATGCAAACCATTTCTATGACTATGTATTGTGTGCAGCATAGGATCCTGAATATATAGAACATTTGTTGTTATCAGGATGTGATATCATGATTAAGTGATGATGTAGTATTACCTTCATAATAAATATTTACTACAAGTCTAAACCATCTTAGGGAGTAATTACCATCGCAAGTGCAACACTAAATTACCATGGATAAGCTGATGCCAATAAGATAAATCATGGGACAGTTCTAGTGAATCTTGCATAATCAACTATCTATCACATCTAATTTACCACTCAGTTTTATATTTTGTCATTGAATGATATAACTATATATCAATCATAGTCGTTATAACAAATATTTACTTCATCCAAACAAGGTTGTAAGAACATCCAAACCCCTCACTAAGTTCATGACTTAGTGCTAAGGTTTTGAGAGCAACCAAACTCCCACTAAATTCATTACCTAGTGGAACCCATGCCCCCACCAAATGCATGCCTTTTGCGTATTATCTTTGTCCATGTGTACATTTATGTCATAGAGTGTTTTCACGCGTTCTCCCCATAATTTTAATTATGCGCACCTCTGCAGTGCTGACCCTATGCGCGTGCCGTCCCTAATATGCGTCTATCACAGGCCCACTACACACATTTTCGGTCCCAACTTGCAAGCTAACACTTGTACTTTGGGTAGGGGTGGGGAGTCAACTATTCCTCTTTATTTAATCTTATCTACCAAATGTCTGTAGTCTCAAATCCTATAACATCTTTTGTCTTTATTTTTTTTGTTTAACATATCTCCCACCGTGTATCTATTTTAGTCATAAACCCATTTATGCAAAGTATATCCTACTTGAAGTTGCAATAAATTTGATAATATACTAAAAATAAAATAAAAAATAATTATAGTAAAGTTGATTTCACTCCATATGATATGGTGCAGACATTATTTTCCTTTTAATTATGTTGTATCAAAAACGAAAATGGTATAGTAGTTCAAAAACCCGTGTCACTGTTGGTAATAGAAGCATTGCTGGTCATATAGTAGACTTTATCTCACTTTTTGAACTCCATTTTTCTTACTATAAAAGGTGCTCTCCTGTGGCACATCCAACCCTCACATTTAGCCCCTCTTGATTCTAACATTCTTCGCTCCTCTATTTCTTTTTCTTCCAAATACCTGTTTTGTAATATTCATCATGGGTGAAGCTGTGGAGTTCTTTCATTCAAATGGCTTCTGTAAAGTTCATGAGGAATCTGATCCAAATCACATCAGTTCATGGTTTGAAGAAGAGATAGACGTTGATCTCAAATGGTCCTTTGCTTTAAATAGGTTTGCACTCAACCATATGTCAATATATATATATATATATATATATATATATAGATGAACACAGAGGTGTATGTGTGTGTGCGCCATTGTTTTAGGCAGAGCAGAACCATCATACGAGGGTTTAAAATTCATAGGGACTACTCCACTGAAGGAAGCAGAAGTAACTTTTCAAACAGTGACGGATAATGTGATTTTTAAAAGTCTCGGAGGCATGGCCCCTAAGTTACAAAATACTTCAAACCGTGGTGGGGGGGTGGTGTAATTTACTCATTTTGGTTCTTTTCCCTGGTGTGAGGCTCGTACGTCTTAAGCCAAGCATTGTTTATTTGCTATTATATTAGAACAGAAAAGAAGTCCGCACCAAACCGGAACGCGAGCTACAAGGCGTTTTATTACATAATTCTTTGTTCTCAAAAATATGTTTTTTGGCGCTTCCTTTTTTTTCATGGGTATTTGCAGTGAAGATAGTATGGAGTCTCCGAGCTAATCTGCTTTTGAATGTTTCTAGGTTATTTGGTGCATCCTTAAGGTCTGATCAAATCTATCAAAAAAAAACACTGATCATAGGTTTCTATAGGGATAGGTGTAGTTAATTTCAATAATTATCTTTATTTTTTTAAATTTTCTGATTTATTTCTTTTCAATTTTGATGGCGGACAATCTATCATCCATTTCTTCCAATTAAAAGGTACGATGAATAATTATATATTTCTTCCTAATTGAAGATAATATTTAATTTGTTTTTATTCACGAAGAATTCCTATCAAAATTAAATCCATTTTTCTCGGTAAATATTACATCCATTTTTTATGTCTAGTATTACATAAAGAATGGGTGGAATTATTCCCGCTCTATGCTTCACTAATCTGTCTTTATCTTTAATGTAAGGGCTTTATTGCTAGTGCTATACTCATAATGACGGCTAAGTTGGATCTCTATAATTGTTTTCAGAGTGCTGCATAAAGGCACCAGCGAGTATCAGGACATCGTACTTTTGGATACCAAGCGATTTGGGAAGGTTAGTACTTGCTACTTCTTTTTATTTCTTTCAATAGAATTAAAATTTTGAATTAATCACAAATTGTATCTTGAAATAATGTTTGTATTTTTAAAGATCAAAAATTTTAATTTATATCCTTGTAGATATAAATATGTATCAATGTATACCTCAAGTTAACGGCCGTTAATTTGTCGTCTAAAATTAAATGAATAAATTATATCTGAATCTCTTATACTTGTCATTTAATCCCTCCACGTTTGAGATAAGTTGCAATCATCTTATCATAGTTTCAATTTCAACAATTTGTTATTGTTGGAGGGGTATATTAGGTTATTGAAAAAATAAGGTTATTGTTGGAGGGGTATTTTAGTACTTTTATTTTTCCATCTATTTCATATGTTAATTCAATTCAATGAAAACTTGAAGGGCCAAATTGTTTAAATTGAAACTATGAGGAACTGATTTTAAAATAACCCAACTTTAGAGGGGATATTTTGTAATTAACACTTTATATGATTTTTGTTCATTTTCAAATGCCGTAATTGCATACATGCACGCGTGTAGGTTTTGGTGATTGACGGGAAGATGCAAAGTGCAGAAGCGGATGAGTTCATATATCACGAATGCTTAATTCATCCTGCTCTCTTATGTCACCCTAAGTGAGTGTTGTTCTTTTCAATATCTATGCTATATTCAATGAATGAGTTTTAAAATATGTTAAGAGTCTCTCCCAGTCTCTCTCTCTCTCTCTCTCTCTGATAAAATTTTTGGCATATAAGGATTATTATCCAGTTTGGTTCCCATTAATAGATATATTGGAATGGATGATTTTAGTACATACCTATATGAATATTTTCATAAACATTGTAATTAAGATTGTATGGATTGATTAATTGCAGCCCAGAAACTGTTTTCATAATGGGAGGTGGGGAGGGGTCTGCAGCAAGGGAAGCATTCAAGCACAAATCAATAAAGAAAGTGGTCATGTGTGATATCGATCAGGTACATATTTACCCCTTTTTTTTTTTTGCACTTTCTGCTGAGCAAAAATTCCTTCAAGAAAATCTAACAGTGATTAGGCTGTCAGAGGAGTGTCATTCTTACCAAATTTTTATATAAAATATCTCATACAAATAATGCGGTACAGTCATAAGATTGGTGTATCCTTTAATATTTGAAGGTAATAATAGTATGTCATACAAATTTTGATGAATAAATTCAATAAGAGTAATATTAAATGTTCATTGAGAGTTGACATTTCTATTAGTCTATCAGCAAAATGACAAAAATAAGTTCCAAAATGTAGTGCATTCTTGCGCACAGCACTTGTTTTTTAGTGGCGAAAGATTAAGGCATCTTTGGCATGTCAAATATAAACAATAGATATTTTTTAGAAAGATTATTATAATTACATTGAACTTAGTGTAAATATGATTTTGAATCCAAAGAAAAACATAAGGATATTTTTTACTTCACTCCACTAATTGAAAATTTTCGTTTATATATTTTTTATTTACTACCTCAAAATAAAAAGTAATATAGTTTACACAAACAAATAGAATGTTTGATCAAAGTGATCTACAAGTATCTTGGTGTACACTCAATACACTACAGTAATGTATGTGTCTATGTAGAATTGTAAATATTCCATTTAACTTAAAAGTAAGAAATTGAATCAAAACCTTCCAAAAAAAAAAAAAAAGAAATTGAATCAAAACACCAAAAAAAATTTTTTTTAAAAAAGGGTTATTTAGTTGTACTTTTTTGAAAGTAAAAATACAATAAATATTTTAAAAATATTATCAAACTGTGCACATGAGTTTTTATTATTATTATTATTAGCCCTGAAGATAGAATTAATTGATCGCCCCTCTTTCGTTAACATAATCTTTCATTTTTAAGAGCAATAAAAACTTGAACGTTCAAGTTAAAAAAAAAATGTATTTTGATTCCTGAAAGGAAATGAAAAGGTGGGGAAAAAAAATCAGTTCTTTGGATTCCAGATCATAACTACGTATCTTGAGATAGATAAATTGGAAAAAAAACGTGTACTTTGAAACTAATGGATAAAGATGGGCGACAACTAGGTTAAGGAAAATTTGACAGTCCATTAAATTTTCTTTTGCGTAAAGCCTCTTAAAACAGCAGAATACTAATTTCATTTTGTGGAAAATTTTCATAGTTTGCATCCCAACTTCCCTCTTGTTGCTTTAATATTATTTTGTGTTCTCGGTAATTAGCATATACTTGGTATTAATCTAATGGTTACAATAAAATTAAACTATTAGGTCAATAAGTTAAGTTAAATTTTTAGGCCTTAATAGCATTACTCTTTCACAATTATGATAGATTTCTCTCTTTCTGAATCAACACATTTAATGCAGGAGGTTGTTGATTTCTGCCGTGAATATCTGACGGCAAACCACAAGGCCTTCAGTAACAAGAAGCTTAATCTAGTCATTAATGATGCCAAGTAAGCAATTTGCCTTTTCAATTTTGTATCTTTCACCAAACATTAAAAGACGCACAACCACATGGGGCTAGAGGTCAAAGTTTGGATCAAAGCTTAAAAGTGTAAATTTTTGTTCAAAACCATACACGAAAAAACACACGTGCAATGTGGATTCGGCAGCATAAGCCATACAAAGTCCGAGACTCGGTCCTCATTATGCGCCTAATTTTATATAGAATATATTCATTCTCAGTTCTCGTGTGGAACTACCAAAGCAATTCAATCACTAATAATTGATGTCTTTATTTATTTATCTAAATTTAGGAGTCTCGAGAACAATTTTATGCATGCACTGAAGTCAATTTTCTGATAATTTTTGTATATTTTTGCAAATATATACTGAACTTTTGTTTCCGACTTGGAGCTAACTACAACAAAATGGCTTTTGCCGATACAGGGCCGAATTAGAGGAGAGGAAGGAGAAATTCGACATCATAGTGGGAGATCTAGCAGACCCTGTGGAAGGAGGGCCTTGCTACCAGCTGTACACAAAATCCTTCTACGAGCACATTCTCAAGCCAAAGCTCAGTGAAAGTGGCATCTTTGTCACTCAGGTGAATCTTCCATGAGTAATGCTACACTAACAAAAAATAAGAACTAATTGACATAGCATTACTTAATGGTGTTGTTGGTTTCCCTTTTACATATTTTAACATTTAAATTTGCTCTATTATATTAATGTCACATTATTTGGTCAATATTTTTTTGTCCCTTTTTTTAGTTAGCATTACTCATCTTCAATTTGCACTCTACTAGCCAATTTGTATACTTACGAGTGATCATTAATTCTAGATTCCCCCTCCCCCCCCCCCCAAAAAAAAAAAAATTAATAATAATAACCCCAAAGTTGTTGCCACCTTATGGTCCAGTGGTTCTTTCACTTGTAATGCAAGCTAAATTTTGCACAGGCTGGACCAGCAGGAGTATTCACCCATCAAGAGGTCTTCTCATCGATTTACAACACAATCAAGCAGGTCTTCAAGTGTAAGTCTCTCCCCGGCGCTCAAAACCTATTTTTTTTTTAAGCAATTTCAATCCACACGAGTAAATAATTCTTAGAGTCAAACTGTCTAACTTTTATCTTTCTCAGATCATGTTATAGACAAGAGACTTGAGAAATAATATGTGTAGAGAGATGTATCGTACGATTAAGATGTTTACTGACATATATACTTAGAGCATCTCTAATCCTTACTTAAATTTAGATTCAAATTTAAATTTAAGTAAAAAAGTCTAAAAAACTTGCTCCAACATTTTACTTAAACTTATACCAAATTAAGAAAAACTAATTTTTTTACTCAAAGTAAGGAAAATTCAAATCTTTACTCAAATCTTTAATGGTAAGATTTCACAATCTTTTAAAGATCCAATGATCATCTTTACTCCCTTTTAAATTTGAGTTTGCTCTCATTTAAATTTGAATCTCTCTTTCTTTAAATTTGAGTTTGTCCATTGGAGTCATTTATATCAAATTAAGATTTTTACTCAAATATTAATTTAAATTTGAATTATGATTGGAGATGCTCTTATAGGTGATTGTAACCACTTAGATCAACATGATCCCATAATCTCCTAAATTAATTAACAGATAGAGATATATCTCTCATAATCTCCTAAACTGATTAGGAGATAGAGACATATCCCCAACCAACCACCAATGATCTAGTCAAGTTCTGTTGCCCCATATGAGCAGATCAAGAGTCGAGTTCGGGACCAAATGCCGACTCATAAAATACTAACATGAGTGATGCACCATTGAAGAGGAATGACTTGATATATGTCGATGGTAATATAAAAAGTGGATGTAGGGGGAAAATAATTTGAAATGAGATAATAGACGAAGATGTAGTAATTTATAGTGCAACCATATAAGATAAAGGCTTTAGTGACTTGATTTGAGTTTATTACCTCAACTGTAATAGCATGGGCACTATTCTTGACCTCGATTCTCTAAATGCCGGTCTTTTCGGGTTGTTCATGCAGATGTGCTTGCATACACAGCTCACGTGCCGTCTTTTGCAGATACGTGGGGATGGGTTATGGTTAGTAATACAAAATTCTTCAGTAACATATGATAGGCAGCTATTGTTTATATTTTTCTAATTAATGGTGAATGTATCTGTACTAATCCAGGCGTCGGACAAACCATTTCTTATTGATGCTGAGAAGATAGACAAAAAGATTGAGGATAGAATTGACGGGGAGTTACTGTACTTGAACGGTGCCTCCCTCTTCTCCTCTACCATCATGAATAAAAGTGTTTCTCAGACGTAAGTTCACATAACTTTTACATTAGTAAAACAAAAAAATTGAGAATTGAAAAATGAAAATCAACACAAATGTTACGATTGGAATGCTTCGGTTTTGGTAGAGATTGAAATGAATCAATCAATTAAATATCAAAATTATTATGTTTAAAATGTTTCTAAATATTTCAGAATATTTCGAAATCAAAATTGGTTATATTATATTTTCAAAACATTTTCATCTATGAGTCAGGGAATGTCTGAAATATTTTGAGGCTTAAATCAGCAACTATATATCTCTATTTTAATCCTTTAAATATAATAGCCATCTTTTGTCATGTGTCTCCTCATTTGTTAATTTGCAAATATGATGTATAGAGGAAAAATATTTAGAGAGTTTTAACCTTAGAAAATTCTAAATTAATATCTTTAATTGGACTATTTCTACTAATAAATTTCTTAATTTTTTATCAATATTTTTTCATTGACTTGGATCAAAAATATTTATAGCACTATAATTTCGTGTTTCCTCAAGATTTTTGTGTTTTTCAATTTTTTTTGGTTTGGCCTCCAACATCTATTACATATTACATGTTTGTTTTATAATTGTGAATATTTTCTTTGTTATTAGTCTGTTGTTTTATTTCATTATATCTTCTAATTCTTTGATATTAATTATTTGTTCATTTATAAAATATTCACCAATAATTTTTTTGTTGCTAGTATCAAACTTCTAAATAGATCATTTTTTGAGGTTTCATTAGTTTATCCATTTTCTCTCTTTTTAAAAAAAAGGGGGAGGGAAGGCTGTTACTGAAGAGAGAGGAATTTTACCGGAGAGAGAGAGAATGAGTGGAATTTTTAGAGAGAGAGAGAATGAATGCTGGTTGGAAATGAAAGGTTGAAAATGGGATGTTAAGTTGAGTTGACTTTTCAATTAATAGTAATTTTATCGTTGCTTTTTTATTAAAAAAATTTAATTTTATGGGTTTTTGTGTTATGGGCTATAGAGTAAATGGACCCAAACAATCAAAGTTGAAAATTTTGGATTAGACATAGTTATGGAATTGCTATACAACAATTAAAAATTATGAGGGCCTTGTCGAAAAGTTAGAAACTCGAGCTTTGATGGCCTTACATTTGGGCCGACCCAGCTCCAAATTGATGTTAATCATGCTCTAAGACGAAATTTTAATACTTACCAAAACTTCACACATCACATGTGTCCCTGCAATTTTTTTATGTGTAATAGTATTTGGATCTAAAAATTTGATTTAATTTATTGATATAATAATGTGACTTCAGTAGAACCATTGGATCAACACCAAATTTCAATGTTTGATGAGCCCTACAGTTAATCCAAAGGTCATAGTGAATTATGTTAATAAATTAAGTCAATAAATTAGGTCTCAATAACATTGTCCTTTTTTTTATACCACGTGAGGTCTTGGAATTGAAATTCACTAACTTTAACCTAGTTTAGAACCAGTTGAAGTGCAATTTACTTTTTTTTTTTTTTTTTTTTGGGGGGGGGGGGGGGAGGGAGAGGGGGGAAGGGAAGGGAAATTGGACTTTTGATTTCAAGAAGCCAAAGCTTTAAAAGAATATTATTAGACCAAATACTCGTTGATTGAAGAAGTGCAATTTACAAATTTGAAAAGTAAGCAGAAAAACAAAACAAAACACAAAGAATTGCCACCAGAATTGTCTGTGTTTTAATCATTTGCTATGGTTTGATACTTGACGCAATTGTGTTGCTGTTTCAGTCTGAAGAATGAAACTCATGTCTACACCGAGGAAGACGCAAGATTCATCCATGGTCACGGCGTTGCTTTTCGCAATTGAGGCGTTGGGCCTTGGATTGGGGGAGCCGCTGTATAGAAAAATAGAAAGGATGGGTCAAGAAGCATGGAGAAGTGATTAAGAGTTCATCATAGAAACTTCAAAAATTGTTGGAAGATTTCGCTTTTAGACAGTATATAAGCTAGGTTTCTTCTGTTTTAAATAGGACTCGAGCTACTTTGGAAGTTCTGTGAAATGCTGAAAAATCATGAAGCATTCCTGCTTTAAGAATTAAGTTATGAATTCGAATTTTTTTTCCCCGGAAACAGAGGATGACCATGATCACCCTATTTGGACAATGTGTGAAGCCATGGTTGAACAGATGATTGACCAGTGTTAATGCCGGCTACGAATCATCAACATGATTAAGAAGGCAACAATCCAAGAGTTCCAGATCTAGTACTGTAGAGTAAGGTTTAACCCTTACAATTAATAATCCTATTCTTCTGCGTTATAACTTTTCAAAAGAGAAGCTTTGAAGACGTTTTTGCATGCTTCAAAGGCTCCATCACATGGAATAATAGTTGTTTACTGGGGAAAAAAACGAATAGGTAAAGTAGGTTCTGATGATGCACAAAACTGTCTTCATACAAGATCAACAATCAAGTATGTGTAAAAGTGTAATTAATGAGTGACAAACAAGCAATCAATGACAATTAAGAGTAAAACAGTAAATAATGAATCAACACAGGAATTTATAGTGGTTCGGTCTCGGATGACCTAGTCCACTTTCGGGAATGGTAGCAGTGGCCTATGTTCTTCATTGATGAATGATAGTACTCTGGAGAGGTTTTTGGGGAGACAGAGAGAAAACAATGAGTGTAGGGGGGTGCGGAGAGGTTTCAGAGGTGTGCCCTCAATGTTGAGAGGGCTTACATTATATAGTTAGGGTAAGACGGTGACGTGAGTGAGTGGACTACTACTACTTTGGTAAGTATAGTTATGGTAGGAGATCTCTACGCTTATCCCGATGTTTACTCCCTCGTGCTCCTATTCTTTCGGAGGAGAACTCTCAGCCGGATTGGACTTGATCCTCGTCTTGAGCCTGGACCTGTCTTGAGTTGGTGTGACTTGGACTTGGATTGGAGCTCTAAGGTGAAAAGGAGCAAAGAGGGAGGCGCCCAAGGGGCCAGCCTAAGGGGCTGCCAAGTCTCTTGGGCGTTGGCCTTGGGGCTTTGGGCGTTGACCTTTTGATGTCTTCCTTTTCAATGGGTTGATCCAGTTTCGATTTGGACTTTCCTTTGAGCTTTCTCGGATTGTTTTCATTGGGCCTAGCCCAGTCAAATTTGTGCTCATCATTTGCCCCCAAGCCTCTGACTTTTAGTGAGAGGAAGGAGTTGTGGGCATGTGCTATACCTTCTCCAGAGTGAGTCGGATTTTTTTTTTTTAACACCGTAACAAGTTCATGGGAACCAAAAAAGACTCCCATGGAGCTGTTTTGGGCGACACCCATGTGGCCGAGGTGGGCGCCCAAGGCGATAAGACAGGCGCCCATGGGGCGAGGAGGACCACTGGAGCATTGAAAATTCGATAAAACTTCGAACAGCCATAACTTTGCGCACGGGAGTCCGTTTGAGGCGAATGTTTTTTTTGGTACATCCTCGTCTATAAATAGAGGTCACTATTCATGTCTTGCCCATTCTTCTTCCTTCCTCCGCAATTGTTTATGTAGTTGCCTCCCCCAAGCTTCCTTAAGAAGCTTCATACCAAGCTTCTTCAAGAAGTTTTAGCAAGGCTTCCTTGAGAAGCCATTCTTTTTCTATAAATAGGCCCAAGGGTTACTGTTCATTCATTCTCCCTTGCTTTTATCCCCTCTCCCATTTCTCTCTTTAAATCATCATGAAGATGAGGAGCTCTAAAGATGGAGAAGACGGAAAGGCTAGCCTAGGCGGCACCCATGGGGCCGTTCCATGTAGCGATCTGGGGAGAACAACGCAAACGCCCATCCTGGTCCAGGCGGTCGGCGCCCAGGCTTCAGGTGGGCTCGATTGCAGCGCATATGGTGGACTTGAGCAAAGCAAGGGAAGAGCAAGGACCATGGGCGGTGCCCAGGCTCTGGGCGACGCCCCCTTGGGCGGCGCTAGGGGCTTGGACAACACCCCTTCGGGCTTCGGACGCTTGGGTCTCCCTCCTGGCACTGGTTTTGGTGTGGCCTCGACAGCTGGCGAGCGACCATTCGGGACTCTCAGTGCAATATTTGGCACGAGCAAAGAGGTTTCAATTAATCTTTTTAGTGCGTCGAGAGGGACCCCAAACACAGGTGGGCGGCGGAGTGAATCTTCAGAGGGTGTCGTCCTGGGCTGGGCGATGCCACAGGCTCCTCAGGCGTAGTGCAGTCCCCCTTTCGAGAGTCCAGAAAATGATCGATCACCGATCTGCATGGGACTAGCTCTCGAGGTATGTTGTAGCATATTATTATTATTTTTTTTGTTATAATCATTTTTCCTGAGCTACAGCCTGAACTTGCTTTTGCGGTTATTCATCCAGGCGAGAGGGAGGCTTCTCAAGACTCCGACGGAGGTCCAACTGCTGGAGAGAGCGATGGCTCGAAGGTAGCTTCTATCTTTAGCTTGCTTGACCATGATGAAGATATTGTCGAAATAATCTTATTATATCGTATTCCACCCTATGTGACTTACTGTTGCACTGAGGCCGATGAGTCTGCATGTTGTGATTCTTTGGGTGAGATTGTCGTATATGAGCGCATGTTGGAAGCGGGCCTTCAGTTCCCTATCCCCGGACCTATATGTCGAATTCTTGGGCACTTGTCTCTGGTTCCAGGGAGACTGGCTCCTAATGGTTGGAGGGTGATTATGGCGGTTGGTGCATAATGCTACCATCCCTCCACCGTTCAAGGAGTTCTGGCTATATATACACTAGCGAAAAATCCTATTCCTCACTGGAGGTGGTACCGCTTCACCCCAAGATCAGGCAAGTTTATTGGCGGGCTTACATCCAACCATTATAGATGGAAAAAGAAGTTCCTTTTTGTTGGAGGCGAGTGGGCCTCCGAGTCTGATCGTGACCTTGTGCTCGCACGATGGAGTACAGTTCCAAAGACCAAACAAGGTGCGAGATTTTTGCCCTTAATTTGTGTCTCCATCCTCATGTATTTATTCTTATGGTGCACTTGTCTTCATGTAGCTACACCGACTCTAACTCCGATTCAGGAGATACTACTCGAGATGGTTCGCAACATCCCGACCAAGGATTTTTTTGATATTTATGATGGCGTCTGACACCTCTATAGCTCCTCCCAGGTCGAGAAAGAAAGGTACTTGACCCATTCTCTTTTCACTTCATAGTCTTCTTAAAGACTCAATGTGGCAGGCTTTTTTTTTTTTTTTGAATTGCGCTGGCTCTGCAAGTCCGCCCATTGATAGGTCGGTGGTGGGGGAAGTCTATACTTCTAGGGTGGCATCTTCACTTCCTCCTTCTTCCAAGAGGGCGAAGTCCAGTACCCCCAGCTTTTCTCAACCGGGGTCTACCAATCAAGCTATCTTCATAGAAGCTGACCTTAGTGATGTTCCTCCTTCTTCTTTGGCTGATTCCTCCCCACCCCCCGAGAGACTGTTTTAGCGCTGCTGTAGGTGTTGAGGCTCCAACGCCACCTTCCATTAGGACTGAGAATCAGATTGGCGGTCCCACTTCGGGTGTTCCCCCATTATATATGCTATAGGAGGTGAGGTTGGCAAGGGAGAGACTCTGTGATTTCGTGACCGGAGTCGAGGCCCAAGAGATCGTCTCCCGAGGTCCTGAGGGCATGATTAATGCCACTGTGGAAGGTTTTACTTTGGTATATTTTATATCCTTGCTTCGCGTCTAGCTTCCTTTCATATTCTAGCTTCTTTTATGACTTTCCTTGTACTCTTATCTCTGAATGTCTGCAGGTGGCTGCTGCCTTGCCTGACTTTTTTAATAACACCTTACAGATTCGTGATGCGGTCGATAGCTTGGCTAGGGAAGACGGGCACGAGAGGCTGCTGAGGAGTAGCTTGGGCTTGAGCGACGGGCGCGAGAGGACGCCAAAAGGCTAGCTCAATAAGCGCGAGAGAACGCCGAAAGGCTAGCTCGACAGGCACAATAGGACGCCGAAAGGCTAGCTCGACAGGCACGAGAAGATGCCGAAAAATAGTTAGAGCTCGAGCGGTGGACGCAAGAGAACGCTGCTGAGCAGTTGAGGCCATTAAAAGTGAAGGTACCCCAACTTGAGGCTGACCGTCGGGTATCGGTTGAGAGTGCCACCAGAGCAGAGGTTCAGAGGAACACTACTGAGAGGGTCAGGGCCAGTGCTTTCATTGACGGCTATGAGGAGCTCAAGAGGAAAGCCTCAGTAGCATTCCCTTATTGCTATCTTTCTGACCTCAAGCCTCATGAGGCCCTGGAGTCAGATGATGAGGACTACGTGAGTGGAGGTAGTGGGAGCCACTAGGAGTGTGGTGCCTTTGCATTTATTGTTTCTGTTGATACACTGTGTCTATCCTTTTGTAAAGAGTTCATGGATTTGAACACAACTTTTGTAAAAGCCTATGACTTTTGAATGGAATACAATTTTTGAAGAAAAATGATTAACATAGAAAATTGACCGACAAGATAAATAACCTACGCAACGGACACCAACTCATGACTTATTGCCCCCAGCTACTGGTGGTATTTCTTTAGATGTTCTGCATTCCATGGGTAGCCCAGGACCTTTCCTTCAAAATTCTGGATTCTGTAGGTGCTTGGCCTTACTAACTCCGTGACCGTGTATGGTCTTTCCCAGTTGGGTCTCAATTTCCCTTCCCGGGAGTCTTTGGTAGATAATATAACCTTTTTGAGGACCAGGTCCCCAGGTAAGAAGGCACAAGGCTTCACCCTTGAGTTTTAGTATTTGGTCATGTGACGCTTATACTCTGCATTCCTAAGTATGGCTATCTCCCTCTCCTCCTCTATCAAGTCGAGGTTCATGCGGAGGCCTTTTTCATTACTAGTAGGGTCATGCTTCTGCACTCTAAGGGAGTGTACCCCGATTTTAATGGGAATCACTGCCTCCGTCCCATAGGCTAGGGAGAATGGGGTCTCGCCCGTAGGAGCCCTTGGTGTCGTGCGATAGGCCCATAATACTCCTGGGAGTTTATCTACACACTTTCCTTTTGCAGAACCCAGTCTGAATTTCAAGTTTCGGAGTATGGTCCTGACAATGACCTCTGCATACCTGTTCGCCTGTGGATGTGCAGGGTTAGAATGGGGTTGTTTGATCTGTAGGTCCGCACAGAAAGTGTTGAGGAGTTTGTTGTCAAATTGCTTGGAATTGTCACTTACAATGGCATGCGATATCTCAAAGCGGCAGACCAGACTCTTCCATATAAAGTCCTTTATCTTTTGATCTGTGATTCTAGCTAAGGCTTCAGCTT